TCCTTGCAGAATTCGTTGAACTCAGAATTACAGAACTCCAGACCATTGTCCGTTCGCAGCTTCTTGATCTTCTTACCGGTCTGATTCTCCACCAATGTCTTCCACTGCTTGAACTTCGTGAAAGCCTCACTTTTTGCTTCATCATGAAAATCCAAGTAAATCTCGAATAATCATCAATAATAGACAGAAAATACCTGCTGCCTCCAATGGATTCAACTCGTGAAGGACCCCAACAATCGGAGTGGAGGTAATCCAGTATCCCCTTCGTCCGGTGGATACCCTTCTTGGGAAACTTGCAGCGATGTAGCTTCCCAAACACACAATGCTCACAGAATTCCAAATTCTGCACCTTGTGCCCGCAAAGAAGATCCCTCTTCGATAGAACTTGCATCCCTCGTTCACTCATATGCCCCAGTCTCATGTGCCAGAGAGTGGTCATATCTTCCTGTTGAACCCGAGACGATGCAACTGCAGCAGAACCAGACAACACAGACCCTTGTAATGCATACAAGGTCCCACGCTTCACGCCCTTCAGCACCTTCCTTGAACCTTTGCAGACATACACAACTCCACCTTTTCCTTTGAAGCTGAAACCCTTGCTGTCGAGTAGACTCAAGGAGATCAGGTTCTTTGTCATTCGTGGAACATGCCTGACATCATTCACGGTACATAACGAACCATCATGTGTCTTATGGACCCGATTCCAACAACCTTGCAGACAGCTCCATTAGCCATGACCACGTTACTACCATCTATCTGCTCGTAGGTTGTGAAGCAATCCCTGTTCGGAGACATATGATATGAGGCTGCAGTATCCAGAAACCACACATCACCACGATGTGCCTTCTCATCTACAGCCAAGGCGAGATCGTCTTCAGAACTGTTGTCCACTTCTGCCACGGCAACTGAACCTTGTTTCTTCTGTTGCCCTCTTCTCTTGGGACAGTTGTACTTCCAATGCCCCACTTCCTTACAGTTGTGACAAGCATCACCTGGCTGTGGACCGGGACCCTTGGAATTCTTGCTCGAATTCCCTTTACCAGATTTCTTCTTTCCCTTTCCACCTGTAACAGCCAAACCCGATGCCTCACCAACTGTACCAGATCCGGACGCCTTATGTCTGATCTCTCTCGTATGAAGAGCAGACCTGACATCCTCCAACGACACGCTTTCTTTACCAGCAATAAAAGAATCAACGAAATTCTCATATGAACTCGGCAAAGAAACCAGCAGGATTAGGGCAGCATCCTCGTCATCAACTTGAACATCTATATTACGCAGATCCAGCAAAATAGAGTTAAGCTGTTCGAGATGTTCCCTCAAAGGCGTACCTTCTTGCATCCTCAAGCTGAACAACCTTTGCTTGAGATGCAGCTTGTTGGTTAAGGACTTCGTCATATACAGACTCTGCAACTTTAACCACAGGCCCGCGGCAGTCTTCTGAGCAGCGACTTCAATGATGACGTCATCAGACAACGATAGCATGATGGTCGAGTGGGCCTTCTCCTCCAGGGTATTCCACTCATCGTCATCGACCGCTGCCTTCTTCTGTTTCGCAGACAGCGGCCCCCACAGCCCTTGCTGTTTTAATAAAGCCTGCATCTTGATCTGCCATATAGCGAAGCTGTTCTTCCCCGTGAAATTTTCGATCTTCATGTTCACCGACGTCATTCTTCTGAATCGAAAACCCTAGCCTGATTTCCAGCCGCGGCTCTGATACCACTTGTTATAAACGCGCTGCTACGGATCGGGAAATCGCCGGAATCGACAAAGCAAGAATACGAAAGCGAGAATCGAAAACACGACACACGATTTACGTGGTTCACTAACACGATGTGTGTTAGCTACGTCCACGGGCGAGAGAGAGCCAATTTCACTATATCGAGGAGATTACAGATTATAGAGGAGTACGAGAAGTATTTATAGCACTTCTCCATGTGGGTCTAAACCTAATCCAATCTGACAAAGGAAACGGTTACAGACCAGGCCCAGAACCCGAACCCAAATAACAGCGAGACCCCCGATTACCAGTCGTAGCGGCTGATAGTCCGATTCAAGTCATATCAACACACAAGGTATTGAATAAATTCCAAATGATGTAAGAAAATCACATAAGATATGAATGGATTTGAAATACATGTTAGGATTTCAAGGAATCAAAAAATCTAAAAGAGCAAGAAGCATAAAACCTAATGATCATGAACAAATATGGCCCAGAACAAATATAATCATTAGCAAAAGAAAAGGCTTGAGAGGTGTCAGATGTGAAGCGTAGTAAAAGGTCATTTAGTGACATTAATTAATCGAACAGATGCTAACCTATAGGGTGAAAGTATAAAAGTCAAGAAAATGAAAAAGGTGTAGTTGCATCCACAAAGCAAGTGTTTACCTAAAACTCTTGATAAGAAGACTTCATGATCGCAAAAATGAAAACAATGTTATCAGCATTGAACATTTAAATATAAGTAGGTTGTGCTTGACAACTAAAGAAACCAAGACCGGTTTACCAATTCTCAATTACCCAGGAGTTGTGGGAAACTGTAATATTGACCTGTTGCAACTCTCATGAATTGGCTGTTGCCCACAACATCGCCAGGGCAAAGCAATGTAGACTCCATCCAAACAAATAAACATTAGTTGAAGAGGGTAACAAAAATGGAATCCAAAACATATGAGAATGGTAATTCAATAGCAACCTGCTCAAATAAGATATTGTACCCACTAAGATCATGGCGAGTACTCTTCCTATGCCTGTGAAATAGTCCAAGGGCAAAGCTTGGCTGAGATATAGAGTCGCACCCTTCCAAAACCAAACACAAAATCCAGATAAGATTCGCGAGAAAGAAATTGTTTCGAAGTTCTCAAACCAAATAGGCCTCTTAAAATGCGGACAATCTCACTTGAGACTCAAAGCCACATCCCATCAGAATCACCAAGTGGTTGCTCTTCAAAGTAACTATCGGCCTTGCATATAAATTACATCTATATATGTTGAAGTCCATAAATGAGAAAAGGACAATGAACTGACCCAAACTAAGCAGGGCAAGGTGCATCAGAGTAAATAAAAACAAAGAAGCAAGGATATAGGGTAAGATGAGGCACATGGGGGATGAAAAAGAACCTAGATAGACCACGGCTAAGCAGTCTACAACCCAGGGAAGAAAGTAAAAGCAATAGGGGAAAATACGATATGCAAAAAGCATCACTGCAAGACTAGATGAACAACAACCTATGAAATTAGGAGACCAGAACTGGATTATCTATCGTAGTACAAAGTTGAGCCAACAGTTTCTCTTGAATACGGATTGATGGTTCATTTTTGCTTTGAGTAATGAAAACACGGATAACTAAAATGTAGTTTCCAGTAATTGCCAAGTTGAAAAGAAAAAAAGACTTTAGAGGTGATGTAGTTCTACTGTCTATCGTATTCTTCCAGGCTAGAAGACAGATTCATTAAACAATCTAACTTGGGTAATACCAAATCTTGATTTTAAAAGTGGCAGTAGTCAGCTTTTTGCTACGTACCACACCCACATAATCGACCAACAAATCCAAAAAATTGCTACTTTTCTATCTTGCTAAAATGAACAGATATGATGTGCGAAACCTAGATTCGTGGAAGGGGGAAATACCTGTCAAATTAAGGAAACCTGAAGAAAGGCTAACTGAACCACAAACAAAGGGGAAAGATGGGAAACATAAAAAAAGGAGAAGGTATGAATAAAACATACCCAGATTCATGGGAGAATAAACTTCTTATCATACTTGAACAAAGATCAAATCAAGTTCAAAACCTGGAAGCTTACAAATTTTAAGCGATCAAGTCATGCGTCAAGTTTACTATAAGACCATATACAAAAGTTGGAAAGAAACGAAAAGTATCAGCATAGATTGGACATAAAGGGAACCTTTTTCCAGTTGAGCAAAAAGTGTAAGAGAGTGCACTTCTAGCTGTATACCTATTCCTCATTCCTTTGTTGTGTCATCAGTTTGATGGCGATACAATCCCAGGTACAAATCCTGTGGTAAGTAAGTTGGGGAAGTTATCAAGCGGACCTGGCTCAATGTAGTCCCAGTTCTCTGAACTAACAAAGCAAACTGACCTTTCTAGATTGCAATTAATGAAAGAAGCTAAATGTAAGATTAATGACAAATCAGAAGCAGAAACCTTCAAAGAAGAAAGAAGAAGAATCACATTTTTAAGGGGAAGACAACTAAAAAGGAGTACTGAAAGTAAGAACCGAACGATTCTCAACCCAAACTGTAAACGAAAATTATTTGGAAAATCTAGAATGACTATTAACTTCTGAATATGTTATCAACTGGAATTCATTCAGAATACCCATATGCCACAACTCTCAAAATACAAATCATCTAAAATTGGAACTAATAATTTAGGGAGTAAAGTGTAAGGCAACATTGAACAAAAGTACAACTCTAGAACTCATTCACACGATGTTGCAGCTGCCATGGGATTTGAAGGGGTAGATAAAATCAATGCCCTTGTGGTTGAGATAAGGAGTATGGTGCTGGGGAAATTGTTAGTAACATGTAACCTATCAAAGGACAAAGTCTATGCATTGCTAAAGGATCAAGCTAAGGCAGATGATATCCTGAAAGCAGCATTCCATGTAGGATCTCTCTCTCTTTTCTATTCTATGCCATAGTTACTAAGAGGAAGCATGATTCTTCTTTCATTATTTGAGCTATGAGATAATGTGATCACCTGTTGTATTGTAGGCCTGCACTCTGTACACTCTACTCAAAATAGTTGCAGGTCTTCCTGTCAAAAGGTTCAGGATCAGGATAAAAACTTTGTTGTTATCAAAAGGAAATACTGGAACTGTTTGTACAGAAACCAAAATCCTCGACCATTAGAAATTAATCAAACTCGAATTCTCATCACCTTTGTCTATTAACAGTAACATAAATGTTTATCATGATTCTCAACGCATAACAGAAAGAATGGAAGAAGAAATTGGAGCATAAAGGGGAGAGTACTTGGACTTTATTGTTACCGACAACCAATTCCAGCTCCCTAGGCACGGGACGGAACGTTATTCCGCAGCATTGAAGTATAACCTAGTATGGCACATTGTTAGAAAAGCAGTCAAAACCAGCTAAAAAGCAAAATGAAGCGAAACAAAATGACATATTTCACTAAGGTTTCTCAATTGTCATATGGGTGGAATGTAGCATATCAATAAGCTAATACTGCTCATAGTAGACGAAACCCCATTTCAATCTCAAAATCCCACATTCTGCTACATTTAACAGTGTTATGTGGTCGTTTGGGAATGAACCTAGCAAAAGTAGACTTGTCTTCTTCAATATACAGAAAGCAAAGGATCGTGCCCAAGAAAAGACCCGGGAAACATGACAATGCTCAGGTTTGAAGATTATCCAAGAAAATAATTCACCTGCCAATCCCTGGATATGCAACTGACTTCTTTAAGATGGTCAAGCAGATTAGACACAGTGATTACTGGACATTATCTAAACATGGAACCGGAGATACTACCTATCTACGATGCATAGTCACTTGTGTTCCCCAGAGAATGTTCTCTCAACATGTCTCTCCCTAAGCCTCTCTTTGTGTTGCCTCTCCGTCTCCCTTCACCGGCCCCTCCTGATTTCCCCGCTGCACTTGAGATCAGCCTCCGCGGATTTTGCCTCCGGTCACCTGACAACTCAACTCGTTCTAAGATGCGGAATCTCGGCCCAGTGAACTCGGCAGCAGACAGTGCCTTCCTCCGCTGAGCAGCAAAATTCAGTCCCTTTTCCCAAAATTGTCCTCTGAAAAATTAATCTACTGCCGTGCTGCGGGAAGGAGAAAGGAAAACCTAGAATAGGAAGTTACTGCGAAAAGGACACAGGAAGGAGATTTCAGCCAAAACAAAAAAAGTAGTGGGACTCGACGGTTTCTAAATTAATCCCGCCTAAACACCCTGCCACATCAGCCTCCTAAAATCACTCTACGGGCAGGAAATTTTGAATTGGGGGTGCAGTTTTACTTTTCAGCTATAAATGATACTGTTGATATAATACACCGAAGGGAAAAACGGGAGCACCATTTCAAATTTCCTGCAACCAGAGTGAAAGTAGGAAGGACATTTTCGTCTTCACAATTACTTTTTTTTATTCATTAAAAAGACACGTACTGGGATTCGAACCATGACCATTTTAAAGAAAAGCAAGGATCATAACCAATCACACTAAGTACATTTGTTGTATATGTTTAAATTAAAAATATATAATAGCAGAGAAGAAAAAACCCTTCCCCCATTTCAAATTCTCTGCTCCAGGAGCGTTTGTAGGAAGGGTAGAATAGGGAGTGTCAATTTTTTTCTCTTTCCTCTGTGGAACGGGCCAACTTACCGTACACATGCGGATTTAAACGGGTCAAGGAGTGTCAATTTTTTTCTTTAAGCCCTTTTATTTCTCCCTGGTGATAAAATATATATGAAAAGGCAAAAAAAATAATCCTTTTTATTGCTAAAAATAAAAAATTTAACAATAAACTAATGCATGGTATCTAATGGCTAACCGCTAACCATAAAATAAAAGAGTTGAATGGGTCTGACCTACACGGGATTTGGCCATCAAGTAAAACAAATACACATCATTGGTTTGCCATTCTAAAACAAGCTATTTTCTCTGACATAATATATATTATGCTATTATTTTATATCTTAGTGACTAAAATATAATATATTTTAAAGTTATTCAATGGTTCAACCTCGACCAACCCAATTAGTCCAATTTTTATCATTTCAAATATATATTATATAATTATTTGATATCATAATGATCAAATTATAGTGTATTTTATAGGGAATCGTTTGGTATTTGTTAGTAAAAAACTAAACAGAACGATCTATTTGGTTATTTTAAACATTAAAACGATCCTAAACATTTTCAGTTCCTTTTCAATTTTTATGGTTTTATTCTCGAATAAGTGATGTGCAAATGGAGAATTGCAGTCATCTCTTTTCTTTCACTATTTTTTATTTTCAAATAGAAAGTTTAAAAGTAAAGAATAATTAGAATTTGCATGGGTCGGTCAAACATGTTGAATTTCAAGTTTTGGCCCGTTTTGATCAAGTCTAATTTATAATCACATGGTTCCCCGTTAAAAATCTCAATCCAAACCAGTTTTGCAGGTGAGTCTGTGTTTACCACCATTTTCTAGGGATACGACAATGGCGGTTCCTATCCCAAATCGTGTTGTTCGTTCTTGATTTCCTTAGATTTTATCATGGCCTAACAAAAACCAGAAAGCACAATGACGACAAGATGAAAGTTTTATAAAGCAAATTAATCGACCAACGGGCCGAGTAAAAGCTAGCAACGATTGTGAGATGCTCATTTCCCGAAAACCGATGAAAGTTTTATTCATTGCATCATTCATGTCTCTTTCCTGCTAAAATTCACTATTTTTATCACGAATTTCCAAAAAAAAAAAACTATACAACAATAAGCTATACACCCAATTAAATTATCAAATTTCATAACTCACCTTCCTCCGGCCAACTGGCCCCCACACTAGTAGATTCTACATGCCAAACATTATTTGCACTTGGTGGTAGTACCTGGACTCCTATGAAAGGCAAGCACAAATAAATACAAGGCAAAACCTGTACGCCCGCAACCCAGAAGCATTGGGCTCAATTGCTTTGAGAGGAAGGCCCAGTACCTGTCAAATAGCCCAGTCGCACAAAACGAGAAAAAGACCATGCCGTACGGTGGACTGTCGTGGGAACCCAATAGCCACACATATATAACCAATTAAGCATGTCTGGATCCATCCAAATGAAGAAGTCAGAGCCCAATGGGCGAACCCGAACATAGAATCAGACGGCTTTTTGGTTTGTTCCAACTTCCAGGAGAGATGGATTCCCCTCTGTCTGTACCCTGATTTCAATGGATTTTAACAAGGTACAAATCCTTTATTTTCAAGAAATTAATCCAATCAACATTCTTTGTGCTGATTCAAACTATTAATTATTATTTTTTTATGGCGGGCAGCAGGGTATCTGACGAGCAAAATTTGTGTACGTACTATCATCAATCGAAGCATTTTCGACAATATTATCCGATTGTACCACTAACATCCACTTCGTGATACCCAAATTACATCGCATTGATCGTTGACAAAACGTAATGGAACTTGGTCCACCTTAAAGACCCATTCTATCGAAAACAACACCGAAAACAACTAGGATAATAATCATACTTCATATGTACGTACGTGGTGACTAGTAACGCACTACAAACCATCACAATGAAAGAGAAAATACAACTAAACTAATCTAATAGCTAAAAAAAAAAGTACCAAGTAACTAAGAACAACGCCATACATCTAATTAACTAATTAAGTGCCACAGAGAGAAATGGAAAGGTCCAAGCTGAGGGCAGGATTGGAGCAAGAGGAAGAACAAGATAAAGCGGCAGAAGAAGAAGAAGAAGAAGCTGATGATGATGAGAAGGCGTCGTTGCACATGCTCGTTATCGCCATCTGATGATGATCCGTTGAAGTAGTAAGGCTCGAAGAGAGACCGCCGTCAACCTCACTGCCTCCGCCGGGCAATGACAGCGACAACGACAACTCGCAGCCACTCCGACCACTGCCGCCGTTTGCTAGCTCGGCCGCGGTCTCCACTTTCATAACCTGTAACGACGATAAGTAGGAGAAAGAATATATTCGTATTAAGTTTAGAATGAAATGGTCCTTAAAGTTTAATAATTTTGTGGAAGATAAGATATCACCAATATAATAGAATGATACTATTAACTATTACTTTCACTTTTCATTTTTTTGTATCCCTGCGTTTTGGGTAAAAGAAGAAACAAGAAAGTGTTGTCATACTATTTGACCCTACCTTTTTCGAAAGGAATAAAGAGACATAAGTCAACAAATATGCTAGAGAAAAGTACAAACTAATAGTACTGTATAGTATATATCTCCTTTCTTCTACTAGAGCTTCACATTCTCACTACTTTCCTCTCTACACTCTCTAGGAAACAACAAAACAGTAAAAAAAAAAAGAAAAAAAGAGAAGTGATGAGATTACCGTCCCACTTTGATATTAGAAGTAAATAAATACGTGATGATGAGACACAAGGTACTAACGGTGGTGGTCAGAAACCAAATCTACCATCTCAGCAAAAACCGATCACCAGTCCTTTCATAATAATAAATTTTTTGACTCCTCAAGGTATAAAAGAGAAGGTGGGTGAAATAGCTTTTTGTTCTGTTTCTGTACAAAAAGAAGAAAAAAAGTTGACTTGATGAGAACTGAAAAGAAAGATATTCCATGTGGCTTGATGTGGGAAGCAGGGAATGGAATAATGGAAGTAGCAAGACCATTACGAGTACTAGTAGTAGTAGTCTGTCAATATGCCTGAATAAATAAGAGATATGGAAAGAGGAAAAGCAAAGAAAAGAAAGAAGGGTCGTCTTCAATTAAAGCTGAAAACAACCCCAAAACTACACTCAACCAACACAGCTACAGCCCAGCAAGCTTCCTACAGAGATCCCACAGCCTAAAACTAAAAGGGTCCTGAAAAAGAACCGCAATAAGCGACAAGATGGGGGTACCCATTTTCCTACTTTCCTACTTACACCTTGTTTGACTATGACTTTAGGGATTCAATACTTACTATGAAATAAAGTTGAAGGGAATCTATATTCGTAAGAATGTAAGTTGAAGTTGAATATATTATTCGTAACGAATATATTGTAATTTAAGCTAAGAAGGCCCTTCCTCTCTCAACTCAACGTCTTTCAACTTTGATCACGCCTCAAAAAGGTATCAATCTGCAATGTATTATATACTAAGTATTTCCTCACACTATATTCTCCTTATTAGCATTTAATCAGAATTTCGCCACATGTTGTAAATGGATAAATAGATACCAAAGAGAATGTGAGCATGTGCAAGAGAGTTGAATAGATATATATACCTTGAGAAAATGAGATTCTTCCCGGTGGTGTTGGGTAGAACCGGAAAATCCAACCACGTTTGTGGGAGCATATTGAGAGAGCTGCATTTGGCCACACCGGAACCCTCCTCCTCCACCACCACCTCCTCCATTGTGGTACTCTTGCTGATTTGAGTTGATTCCATTGTGGATATGATGATGATGGTGGGGGTTAAGGAGATCAATGGATTCGTACGGAACAGTACCACAAAAGATTCCCTTTTTTTTCTTCTTGTTGTTGAACTCAATAATCTGATGATTACATGATGACCACCTCTTCCTCTTCTTCCTAATCCTTTCCCCATCCATCATAACAATGCTTCCACGGTCTCCCCCTTCCCCACAACCACTGCTGCTACTATTCAAGCTCTCCACTTTCACCCTGCAGTAAGAAAAAGGAAAAAAAAAAAAAAAGACATCATTAATGGTGAAAATGAAAAATACTGTTTGACCACTGGGAATTAATGTAAGCAGAAGATAGAATAGAATGCTGCCAAGGAAGGGGTTAAAATTCAATTGTATTTTGTCTCTTTCTGTTATTGTTTTTTTTTTAGGTGACTAATTTTATCAATAACTGACCTTTTGGGGCTGGGGAGAAGAAGAAACTGGTAAAAATGATCACTTTTGGTTTCTTTCCCTTCCTTCACCTTCTCTTGATCTTCATCTCCTTCTTCGCCTTCGCCATTAATGGGCTCCATTCCTCCTGGTGAGTTGGTGGTGGAAGGCAGCTGATCAGATTCAGTCC